CGTGCCTTGTATCGCAAAGGATCTGGCTAACTCTCTCTCACCTTCAGGCGAATTTTGATTTTTACTGGATCAGCCTTCTGGGAGAACACGGAAAGAACTGTGTGTGTTGCTGCAACTAGCTGAAAAGCTGCATGATTTATTTTTTTTTTTAATAATTTGAAATCATAATTAATCTAAGCATCTCCAAGGACTTCCCAAGAAGCAATGAAGCTAATGCTACCTGCTTTTCTCCCTGGTCCACCTCCCTAGCACAACACATTCAGTAAGCACATGCCAACACATTAGCACATCTGAACAAGATTCCCAACAGTTGCAGGGACAAATTATATTTTGGGTAATCGAAGACGATGCCTCAGAGTCCAGCTTCTCCCATGACATAAAGAGAGTAATATCCCAGCTTTCAGACCTGCTTTTAGCTCTTGTACTGGTCTATGAGAACAAACTGAATGCAACCGTATCCGGTAGCATATACAGGGGATGCGTGTTTTCCCTGCGCCGAGGTGATGCTCGCCAATGCAGAGCTCTTGTGGGACCCCCTCCGGTAACCGTGTGCCATCACAGCTCTCTTCAAGTAATTCGGGAGCAGGTTCTCTCCATCCTCCCATATAATCTGCCTGGGAGAGAAGTGCGATGCTCAGGCCATCCAAAGGAATGCAGCCGTGATCCAGCTACTGCACGGGCAGGGAGAGAGGATAAATACCACAGCGTCACAGAGGAGTGATCTAAAATTGCCTTAAAGCTGTCCTGATCAGTCACAGAAGCCACCGGGAAGGGGGAATACTGCTCAGTGGTCAGCACAGGTCAGGCCTCTTGCTAATACTTTCTCTCTGCTGTGCGAAACAGGGAACATCTGTAGCCAAAAATCTGGTTCAGCCTGTAACCCTCAAGAGAATGAGAATGGTATTACAGGGGCACGTTGGGGCCACTGAAGTTGTATCAAGCATTTCCTAAATACTCAAGAGGTAATTACTTTGCACTGAGGTGGCTCCATCAAATTCTGATCTATTACTCTAGTCAGCATCCCTTGTAGTTATACAGGGTGTAAATCTCTTTTCACAAAACCAATATACTGCATAAGACTGGGAAACGTTCTTGACACAGTTTGCAGTGTTTCTTCTCTCTCCACTACCTTTCCAAGTTTGTTGGGGTTGAATGTATATCACAACTCTTGAACCTCTGGGGAAAAAGATGTGTCTACTGGCTATGCTCACAAAGCTGCTTGACAGATAGTCCTTCTGGATTTGATTTTCTTCAGAGAAGACACACTGAGAGTTTACAGAGCTACTATTTTTACATAAAAGGTAACCCAATGAAAACATAAGAGTTGTGCAGCAAAGGGAATGTAAAGAGTGTGTAAGTTTTGAAGATTGGTGTTGGGGACCTTCTGCATTATTGTGCTGGATAATTTCAATATTGAAGTAAAATGACAAAAAGTCACACAAGCTTGACTTTGAGAAGTTGCTAAGCTAAACATCTTACACAAGACAGCCGAAGCGGGGACAAGTGGCTTTCCACATCTCTGCAGGGGCCTGCAATCTAACAGCGTCTCTCGGGCAGAACAAGAGTCACATGTTGGTACACACCTTTAGAAAAGGTAGAAAGCTAAGATCCTCTGCAGGATGCCTGCCGATGTCATAGAAACACAGCAGGAAAAGTGAACACAAAGAATTAAGAAATTGGTAGCACAAAAAACAGAAAATGCAGAAGAAAAGAACTACCAAAGAAGGACAAAGAACTCACCGAACACCTGAATCGTTGGGCGCAGCATCTTCATTCCGCAACGTGCTACAAACACATCCCAAGCCACACTGTGAGGTAGCACGGCTTCACTGCCTGTGCCTGCCCACGGCATACTAAGGTTTCCACGGACAAAACTCCACCTAGTGAGGAGATGGACTGTACTGCACATTCAGCATTCAAGGTAAGTACCAATGGAGTCCGGTGACAAAATAATCTCTGGAAGGTGAGAAACCCCACAGCCTTACGCTGCTCCAGTGTTGGCAAGGTCTCCTGTATCTACCCAAGGCCCTGTTAGAGCACAGTCTCTTCTCCATTTGAATCAAATACAATGTTGACAAGTATTTTCTGCCAACTTCACTTTATTAAGCCACACACTAACTTTGTAAGAACGTAACTGAAGTGACATCACTTGGCTTTCCTCACCTGTCTGCCTCTTACAACTCCCCCACAAATGACTGACCTGAAGCTCTTCAACCTAACTGGAAATTTATTAGCGGACTTGAACTTTGAACCAACATCCTCTTTCTGATGATGATGTAATAAAAACAGAAATACACCACTAGTGTTGTATGTCCAAAAGTTTTAATACATGGTCCTCACTGTTCAGAAAAGTTATTGCATTAAAGTCTAATACATAAATTCATCTGAATTAAAAAAAAAAAAAATCGTTTTACACATTCCCATTTTGTCATAGCAGCTAAAGGAAACCAGATTTTATATGCAATTGTCTCAAAAAAAACCCCCAAAACCCGACTAGTTCTTCCCCAAATCAACAAAATTGTTATCATATTATTCAGTAGTTACTGCAAATCTCAGCTTGAACACTATCCCCACAAGTGTACAGCTCAGGAAAAGAAAAGTGCCATTCCAAATTACCATCTGCAAATCTGAAATTTATTAAGCCATGACTCTCAGCATATGCTGACTTTTCCTGTTAACTGAATTAACATACAAAGCGTGTTTAATTTAATTGCACACCATTTTCCTTCAGTTACTGTTCTTTTATTATGACCTGAATAGATTCACAAGTTACAAAATGTCAATGCCACCTACAGCAGTTTATACAAATCCACACGTGTGTCTGAATTGCGAGAGGCACACAAACATGATTGTTTGATCGCCCCAACGGAAGGCCAGATTCCCTGATCGATGCATTAAACCACCACCCACGTAAGCCCAGAGCTCCAGGGATGACGGCAGAGACAAAATCATTCAGCCCTGCGTGCCATAAATAGACTGATGAAGGGAGCAGTGGCAGGGGTACAACAGAGCACATGGCAGAATAATATTCTACGTTTCACCCTCTGATGAGGACAAAGATGTGCCACACCAGCTTGCAGTGGAAGCGTGAAGAGGGCTCTCCTCCTATTCAATCTCATGCCAGGGCTCGGAATCGAGAAACTACAATTCAGCTGCTTACACAAAATCCTCAAGCATGGCAATAACCAGTCTTGAGCTGCAGTTCCACAGCTCACCCTCCTCTTGCACAGCAGGGGGGAAAAAAAATAATTACATAAGGCTCATCTGTACTTATTCTGTGCTCACAAGATGCTTTCTTCTACTGGAAAGAAAACTAAAATATACCTGTTTTCAGAGGAAAGAAAGCCCTCCCTTCTCCCTCTCCTCCAAAATACCTGTCATCATAGAGAGGTCTCACTCATGATCGACTTGGAAATATTTCTCAAGTTAAGTAAGGCCAGGTTGCTACTTTTGCCCACTTTAAAAAGAGAATATATTATTTTGATGTACTTCACTAGGTTATGGTGAGAGTTCACTAGTGAAATAACGCCTGTGCAGCTCTCTTGGAGAGAACACATTCACACAAGTTCTAACTCTCACTGTCCCTGTAGCTTAAAATAAAACTACAGCTATTACTTCAGTGGTTTTCAATCAGTTTCAGCTAAAGAGCACCGAGTTACCCTTTAAAATAATTTTGTACTTTTTTTTTTTTTTTTCTCTGTGATTTGCTAGCAAAAGGTCCAAACACTGGAGAGCAAGTGAGCAGAGAGAGTAGGATGCTTGGCAAAACCTGACAGTTCAAAAGGCATCCAAAGAGCAAGAGAACAAAAACTACCCACGAAGGTGAAAACTGCATTGAACTGGCACCAAGAAAACAGGGAGAAATTAAGAAGCTCCAGTATAAGCAGCCAGGCAGAATGTTTTACTAGGGTTCTCTTTTGTTTGTTCAGGCAGTCACAAGGCATTCATCATCATGATACAAACTGCAAAAGGAATAGGATACTTGATTCTTCCAGTTACTTATTGAACACTTATTGAGAGTCTAATACAAGGTTACTTAGCTGTAACATGATTTTCTCACAATTAAGAAAGTCTGCACTAAAGGGAAAGAAGTTTACACAGCTTAGAAGGTGATGCTGACAGCTTTCTAAAGCCAGCCTTTACACAAGACTTGGCTTATCTTATTTTCAGAGACACATACTGAAGGAGATAGCCATCACCATTCAATCCAAACAAACAAGCATTTGTGTAAACTTCCCCCATCTACATTATAGTGCCCAACCAAATACAGTCCTTGTGGTTTCTGCAAAAAATCTAGGTCGTCTTGGTTATTGCTGTATTCCAGGAAACAATACTAATATTTGCAGGAGAAACAAAAGTGTGTATTTTGAAGATCACATCATTTACAAAAGGCCTCATACCCAGTCTCTTCATCTTGTGCTGCTTCTGTACAGCAAAACTAGCACTCTGTTTCTTCCAAATGAAACAGTATCTTCAGACCCTCTCCCTGACCAGCACATCTCAAGAGCATTTATGCCTCTTCACTATGGTTTCTACCAGCAGGTAATGGCCCATAAAGCATTTATTATGACAGGTCCTCAAGCGAGAGTGCATACTTCACCAAATGGACCCCACCCCAATGAAGGCCGTAAGAAAACAAGGAAGGGGAATATAAAGGAGAAGGGAAGAAAGTTATTCTCACATCTGCCAACAGGACAGCTTATTAAATAGAAGAAGCCCCTTCACCCAAACACAAAAAACTTTACAAAAGGAATTTTTAATTTAGATCTGCCTTTGAAATGAATGAAGAGAATGTGAATGTTGGAGAAACTGAAGAGTCTGCATTGCTACCAAACAAATCAGACTGTGCAAATCCATGTTGTTTACCTGCAGTGCTGAGTCACATCTGGATGGTGGACGTGCCTCATGGAATACCACACCCTGAAAGCGCTTCAGCACTTCCCCTCCTGCCAGAACACTGCCTTAAAAAAGAATTCCTACAGTGACATGACAAGGAGTGATCTTTTCCTGCCCTATGGTGTACGTATATTTAAGATTTCACAAACATTTGGCCAAAAATTGTATATTTATAGTATTTCCCAAGCCACAAACACTACACAAGCCATTCTTACGGTATACGCTGTCCAAGGACATGTGACCTCGACCTTACTTCTCGCTCCCCTAACCCCCATCCACCAAGAAAAGCACTGCATCCTTGCAGGCTTTGACTGGAAGTCTTCAGCTTCTGGAATGCAGCAGTGAGACTTCTGCATTTTTCAGGAACTCAAAAAAAAAAAAAATCATATATTCAATGTACAACATTTTCAGTAAGTGCTTTCACACTCTGTTCCTCAGAACAGCTAGGTCACTTCACACCACAGAGGTGGTGCTTTCTGGATTTACACGCATCAATCTTGAAGCATTTCTCAGATCCTGGAGCTGCTTGGCTGGCTTTCCAACTCCTTCCTCGAATCTTTTTTCCACAACAGGAAGGACAGTTTCATACAGGAAGGATGCATTCTGCCTAATGAATGCTTTCTTCTCAGGGTCCTGCTCACACCGTAAACTGTAATCAACATGCTGGACAGCCACCAGGATGATTTCCACGAGACTCTCCAAAAGAACCATGTGCAGCTCTGGAAAGTAAAGCTTCAACGCTTCCTCCAAGAAGGCCATAGTCTGCTTAGTGAAAGCGACTACAGTATAGCTAAGGTTGACCCAGCAGTCATCACCCGTGTATTGGTCAAAATTGCCTACCCCACAGCTCCTCATCTCCTCCCTGAGTTTCCCCAGGGCCTCTGGAGTCATTAGGTTCATCCTTCTCCACATCTCCTCAGAGTTGCGGTGCTTGGTGGCCTCGATGATGATATCCTTGTAGCTCTGTAAAGCACCTTTGATATCCTTTACCAAAAGGGCGTGAATGACGAAGGTGAGATCCAGTCCAATCTCACTAAGCTGCTTGCAGTGCTCTTTAGCTACCTTGGGTATCAAGGAAAAGTGAAGGGAGTTACAAGCGTGCTGGCCCCTTTACATCTTGCACATTTACCACATTTATCATTCTCAGAAAACCGGGAGGCGTTAGTCATACTTCACTTATTTTACCTGCCTTAATAAGAAAGTCCTTATTAATGAGAAATTAGTAACTGAAAGATAAACCCTGTCTGTCAAAAATACTCTGGACAGTTACATTACAACTCCCACAGACACGTTACGTTTTGTTTTTTTTCCCTTCCTGTTAGCAGCTGAAAGAAACCATAAATTGAGAAAGGTAGTCTTGCAAAAAATTATGGAAATGTAGTCTAGGATAGGCTTGGAAACAAATAAAAATTCTTCAAAATACTCATCACTCAGGTGTAGCTTATGTAAATTTTAGGACCTCCTGCTGGTCAAAGGCAAATTAAAAATAAACACGTTTTGCATTTCTGATAAAGGCAGAGTTTTTCTTGCTGTGTATTTTCATCTTACTGCTTTCCTCTGCTAAATTAAAAAAACCCAAACCAGCTCCAACTGAATATTAACCTTTCAACACAGGAAACCTCTCTGGAGACCCCCTCAAGAGTCAACAGCTAACACTGGGTTAGAAAAGAGGATTTACAAGCTCTGCAGCCTTTGATTTGGCCAATCGTGCCACACCACCCTCTTTGGACCCTCTTACCTTGACGCACTCTGCCGCAGTTGACAAGCTCTCTTTACTATCAAA